TCAAATTTTATTATTTTAAAAAATAATGGAATTTTTCAACGATATTTACTTTATTTAATATAATGTAAATGTCTAAAAGGAAAGTGGCTGGGGTCTCGCTCGATATCTGAAAGTCCCTGATAGATAATATTCATATATGAGGATTGATCTACTGAGAGATTGAAGAAATTTATATTCAACCAGTATGTGATTGAGTTTCTCTCACTAAGTTTTGCATGAGAAAATGATTGACATATTCTCAAATAGGATTGGATTGATGGAATAAAGCAACGCAACACATGGGTGATTTTCCTAGGGGGGGTGTCTCTCGAGAGGACTTTCTATTGAAAGTTGGCCCTATTTAGGAGTTAGACACGCGAAGAAAACCCGAAAAATTCCACGTGGCCAGCCGTTGGTCAGAGCCGAACTCGCGACCAACTTTCAGTGCTCGATGGTTTTTATCTACTCGGTCACTGATGGGCATATTTACAAATAGAAAAAAAGTGTGTGTGTGTGTGTGTGTGTGTGTAAATTGAACAGTTTTATACATATTTTTAAAATTTGAATTATATAAAATATTATATACAGCAAAACTTCTTCAACTCGAAGCTCCAAGGGGCAGGGAAAAACTTCGAGTTAAAAAACAATAGAGTGAAAAATGTTAATCCTGAATAGATTTGTATTTTTACTTCTCTTGCATTACATAAAGAATCTTTGATAGTTTTGTTTTTGTTCGTTTTAAACAGCCTGTGTAACATCTTCCAGAAAAATGTTTAATTAACTAATGAAATCGAACAGTATTGTATATATTGTATATTTTGTTGAGATAAACCGAGAGATCCTCTCGCTTTGGACTGGAAAGTTGCCTACAAATGGGTGTTGGACAGTAGATATAATTAACTGTCTGAAAATTTCATGGAAATTCGATAATTAGGATCACTTTGAATGGAATAAATATTTAAATAAATTATTGAAGTCTTGGGTTAAGCTTTGCTTGATTATATGAAATATTCTAAATAATTCTCGTGTTTGTGTAAACTTCTGTCTTTCAGTATATGCAATATTTAAAAATCACTGTAGCCACATCAATTACAATTTTTATTTAAAAAATTAATTTATTTCCAATGAATACTGAACTTTTATTTAGTCGCAGCTGAATTATTAGTTTCTTTACATTTATTCCCAATGGTTTTTTATACAGTAGACTATATGATTATGGTGAAGGTATTTATATTGGTAAGGTGAAGATTGCTGGAATAGTAAAATTTATTGATTATTTAATTTTAAGAAATTCGAAATTCAGTACAGTGATTAATTATGTACAAAAAGTTATTATATAATAAAGTTTATCAATAAAATTTTATACTTATATTAACGAATTGCAAACACATCTCAAGCGAATCAAAATTTTGATACTTTCGATAAAACAAAATTGTTATAAAGAGAAAACTGAAACATATTTTTACGGAATATAACTTTTTAAGAAATTTAATGAAAAATATAAAAGGAGAAAATATATATACTTTGAGAAAATATATACACTTTTTTTTAAATAAAAAGTTATTGTTTTCGGCAAAAACATTAATATAATATTGAAAAAAATTGGTATGGTATATTTCGTAGGAATAAATGAAAATTTTCATACAACTCTTCTAACGGCTAAGGATTTTATCATGGGCTAAATGATATAAATATGATATAATACGGTTAATAATTTTCTAATTGAATCGCGTTTGCAACCTCTAGGATTTATTTTTCACCTCATTAAATTAATTTTAATATATTATTTATAAAGAGAATTTAATAACAATAATTGTAAATGATTACAAATGTAGGCCTATTTGTATCTTTCCTCTACGGTGATAAGTGAGGACTTTCTGTACAATATTAAACAAAATAAGTTTGATAGTAAGTTAATAATGTATTAAAAGTAGGGTTTCTCAAACGGGATTCCGGGATCCCGGAATCCCGTTTTTTTAACCCGGGAAATATCCCGGGAAATCCCGCAAATTTCTTAAAAATTCACCTTTTTCTTATTTTGTGTTAAGATTGAGGAATTTTGCAAATATAAAGCTTAATTAACTCATTCACTGTCAGAATACATTTGTATTTATTAATTTTAAACCTACCTATTAGTTTTTTTTTAATTTTTGCTCGTTATAGCATGTCACAAATGGTCAATAATCAATATATAGCTTATTTGTGGCAGGACTATAAAAATTCTTTACTTGTCGGAACCTGTAATATCTGGAATAATTGTGCTTACGCTGTCTTGAGTTTTAACCATGCCCAGTAGCTTCAATAAATGCCTGACGCCAGATTGTGCAAATTGGGCAAGGATACAAACGAGTACAAAGTCTGCAAGTATGAAGTTTTTCTTCATAAACCTGATTATTAAAGCCAAATGAATTGCCGAATTATCGAGCTCTAAGCTTGATGCCGCTATTAAAGCAGCCAAGGTAGACAAATCAAGAATACTAGAGAGCGAAAGAAGTACTACAATCTCGAAAACGAACTCGAAATCTTCCAGGCTACAGGTGAAAAAACACATAATATCTGTCTTCTCTTAAATGCATTAAACACTATTCCAATCACATCAATTGAATCGGAAAGGGCATTCTCGGTGGCAAGACTTTTCATTACTAAAATAAGAATTAGAGTGAGTTATCGGAGTATTGACCATCTTTGCTTTTTAAAATCTTATAAAAGTTTGCAATATTTTGTATTATATTTTATTTAAAAAACGAAAATTACCTTCTAAATTAGAAGTTCATTTTTTTAATTTTTAACTCAATTCAAAACATTTTTTTTGTTGTTGTTGTATGCAGTTTCCAGCAAACTTTAATTAATTTTTTTCTATTTGTGAAAATTTCTACGTTATTTAAAGGTAATTTTTATTATAGGCCTATAGACCTTACACAGCATTATTAATATGATTTTGGAGGTTACAGAACTTTAAAATTACTTTAAAAAATAGAAAATAATTATATCATTTGATTTCAAGATATTTTGTATACCTTAAAAATAATTAATTCTATCCCGGAATATCCCGGGATCCCGGGAAACAGTTCACTTTTATCCCGGGATCCCGGGACAAGCAAAAGACCGGGAAATGAGAAACCCTAATTAAAAGTATGCACATATTAAAATGTTTTTTTTTTTATTAAACTATTCAGACCATATTTTTTTTGGAAATATTGTTATATATCGTTCACTATTTGTTTCCATACAATAAATGAGAATTTTATTTCTATGAAGATTCGAAAACAAACGTTTTCGAATCTTCATAGAAAATTCGAATCATAAATTCTTTTTATTGCTGATTGAAAATAATCAGCAATAAAAAGAATTTATGATTGAGAACAATCATGAATCTTGTTCTCGAGTTGTTAATTAAGACAGACCTTTTTTGTCTATAATAAGAAAGTATTGCCTAATTCCTGTTTCTTCGCCGTTTTCTATCCATAACTATTCACTGAAATTTAAAAAGAAATGTATATTTGAAAATGAATAATTAAAAATTTGAGCATGCTTCTTATCAAACCCGTGTATTTAAAAGGATAAGATAAAAAAAAAAAAAACAATTTTCATGAAGTACTGTAGTTTATTAATTTTTACAATACAGATAGCATATACTAGCAGAAATACCCGGTGTTAGTCGGGCAAAAATAAGAACAAACCATAACCATTAAAATTATATTAAAAGTTCTGGTTATTTATCCGACAACGGACAGTGCTAAATACATCTATTTTATATGTATATATATAATAGAATGTGTCTGTAATAACTCTTTGATAGATCTGGACCTAATTTTTCAGTTATTCTCTAGGATGCTGTGGAAAATATAAGCTTCCACGAAACCGGAACATCTCTTCCCTCGGACTTCATCCCCTTGACACTTTATGATAAACATAAATAATTAAAAGTTTGACCATTTTATGATATTTTTTTTCAATAGATGCACATCTACAAATTACAAATTTATTATTGAAAATATCGTAAAACATCTTAATCTTATAACTTATAAATTGTATTTATACAGCTGTCTTTAAATATAACAGAAAAGTAAGACACCAGAGTAACAATTGCATAATAGATTAAATATATGCAGCGTGAAACGACAATTTTTATCGTAAACTATTATGAAGACATTAACTAAAGACTATATATTACTATTTTGAATTGAAACATATTATTTATTACAGTGGCTATCAAATTCTAAATAATATAAAGAAAAAACATATTTTTGAGTACGGTATATTAATTATTTGTTTTTTGAAACCTGACTGTATATAATTAATAACGTAAATAAATTATTAGTAATATAATTAATTTTTCGAAATGTTTTTTTATTTTATTTAGAAGTATAATTAGGATGAAGATTCTTCTGTTTTTGATCAGTGTAATAATTTTCGGAAAAATGAATGCAATTACTTATAATTCATATATTAAGGCTATTTTCTTCTTAGAAAATACTGGTAATAGAATGGTTCAGATATTAGAAATTGGTAATGAAAATTTCACAAGCACCACGGAATTCGATTGCTTTGTCTATGGAGAAAGGTAAAAAAGAAAATCCGAATCTTTTTATTTTATTAATTGAAATCGAGTGAAAGTCATTTTAAAAAATATTCATTTAGAAATGTCATCAATTGGATATTGAAGAAATATCTCCCAGATAAAGTTATTATGGTTAATGAAAGTGAAATGAATTATCGTATATATTATTGTAATAACTTTTTACTGACTTCCATTCGTAAAGGAAAATTTCTAAGTCTCTCTCCATTGTTATATAGAGTGAAAAAGTTCAGTCGATTTCAAATATTTCCAGGTAAGAATTATAAAGTGATAACAAGCCTATTTTATTAAATACTGAAAGTTGAATTCCATTTTTTTTTATAAGGCAGCAAATGGTGTGGTCCTGGAACTATTGCGAAAAGTTTTAATGATTTAGGTGAAGAAGAGGAAATGGATAAATGCTGTCGGACTCATCATTTCTGCAAGGATGTTATCCCAGTATTTGGCGATAAATATGGGCTTACAAACACGGACATATTTCCAAAGTAAGAATAAGCATTTAGTAACATACTAAAAAAATCCAGCAACGAGTTGCTTACCTTTCCTGGAAACATTGTGCGATCAGATGGCACCAGAGTGCGTATAATGACATTTGTTTATGATATTTTATTTTAAAAGTTTTTATATAATTATTATTATAAAATGGCAAAAAGCTTAATTTTAAGGCTAGAGATGAGTTTTATAAACAAAAAATTATAAATGTTAATAACGAGTAAAATGCTCATTAAATATGACTCCACTCAAGATATGACACGACCCCATCTATCTCACCATCCCTTCAACCTTTAACTACCTAAATTTATTAGTATTAATTAATGCCCTTAATACACAAAATTTAAAAAAATTTACACAAAAAGCACAGGCGTTATTATACTTCAAAGTGGGTGAACGAAATCCTGCTCCCCACATACACTAACACCCTTATATGCAGAATTTTTTTTATTGCGTTTATCGATGTCTTTAGGTTCCGAGTCCAAAAATATAAAAATCTTGGATGGGTCAATTTTGATCGAGCACCGTATTTTTCCTCTGTTACATATAACAGTCAGGAAAGTAAATATGTTTTGAGTTTTTTAATGTAGAATATTTTGAACGTTCGAATTATGTAATTAATAGATATTGAGTAGAGTACAGTACATTTTCTGTATGTACATCAAGACATTTACTTATAACGAAATTTGTTAAGATAATAAGAACATGGTACTGATAAATGACAAGAAAATAACGGTACTTTTTAACGTTTAGCATATGTTCATTGATTCCTAATATCGAACTCTTGCTATTGCTCAATATCGGATATCCGATTTTAGACTACTTTACTGTATTTTTGTCCAAAGTATGAATTATCTTTTTTTGTTTTTAATTAAAGTTATTTTACCCTTTCAGTTTAATTATATCTTCATGGTTCCACGGCTTTAGTAACCAAAGAAAGACATGGTGTCCAAAAGCAATGAAAAACACAATTTTGCTGTAAAAAATAAGGAAATATCAATAGATTTTCTGAAAGTTACAAAAATATTCGATGTCCCTAAAAGTATAATACGTTAATGTAAAGAATTCAAAACACACAGATGAGATGTTACAATATAAACTTGGTATAAAGCCTATCTTTAATTCTGAAATTAGAGGTGTACTTATAAAATATTGTTTAGAAATGATAAGTAAACAAGTATTATGGCTTTCAATCAACTGATATTAGAGTTAACATTTCAACTGGCCATGTAATGTAAAATTTCCACTGTGGAAATTCCACACAAGTTTTCAAGTGTAAAAAATGGCTGTCAGATTTTTCAAGAAGAAATCCGCAACTGTCATTCCAGACACTCCAAGTCACCACAATTATGCTAGCAAAAGGAACCAGAGAAATTTTTTTTATGAAGTTTTCATTTCAATCTCAAAAATCAAAATTTGCAAAAATGTGGATGAACCTGTACATAATGCATATTATCGCATATCCAACATATAAATATACTGAATACCTATAAATTGTAAAAGCCAATCTCCAGTGTTTTAACCACTGAACCAGAAAAAATAGAAACAAAAGGCTTTCAGATTTTGAAAATACAACTCAAAAAGTTTTATTAACAACACTAATGAACTGTCGAGGGCACCACACTTAGGAAATTACGTCATGAATCAAAATGGCGAATGTTGATGAAAAAAGTAATGGGTATATTGTGATTTTTCAGAACATTAGTTTGTTTCTTTTCCTTCTGATTCCGAGGTTATAACTCAGTAAAATCGGTTTCATAATTTGTGTGTACACAGTATACTGTATAGAAAAATTTGAATAGAACTTTATTTTATTATTATTTTGATTAATGAACTTTGAGAATTTTTATCATATTAATTTCAAATGTTTCAGACTAAGCTGTGATTGTGAAGAAAAGTTTTTTAAATGTCTTCACAAAGCAAATACGGTAGTTTCAAATAAAATGGGAGAAACCTATTTCAATCAGGAAAAATCGCAATGTTTCATGAAGGATTATCCGATTGTTAAATGCTTGATAAGAAAAGCGTGAGTAAATTTAAATCACAGCTTATTTCAATTTATATTTGAAATAATAATTTTTTTTTTCAGGCTATCTCAATATGAATCTATATGTGTGAAATACGAATTGGATGCAACAAAGTCAAAAATTTATCAATTATTTGATACACCATTCTATAAAGTGCCGAATTTTCATCGAGAGTAAACATTTAATCTATATATATTGCATATTTAATTTATTATGGAAGCATTGAGATAAATCTGGCTGACTTTAAAAGAATGATCTTTTATGCGTGGATTATTTCACTATTAACGTTTTTCAACATTAATTTGTAGCAAACATTGAATAAAAAATGATTAGTTATTATATCGCCACTATTCCCTGATTTTTATAAGAGAATATGTAATGGCAAATTTCGTTAACGTTACTTTTGTTTTTCATTATTTAGTGCTTTATTATATTCATTAACAGACGCGAGGAGCAATTACACCACTGATAGGTCTATATACTACACAGTAGTTTTATATAAACTTTGTTTTAGGTAGAGATATTTAAAACATAATTTTATTTTCGTATGTGGATTTTATATAAGTTTATCCACATCCTAATCTGTAATTTCATATTATTATCTTATTAAATTTTTCCAAAAACAAAATATGCTATTTCTTTCTTTATACATGATATTAGTAATTGCACTTTTTAATTTTATAAGATTTTCCTTGATAGAATCGTAGAAAAAAGTTTCAAAACTACTTGAACAATCATATCTATATACCAATCAAATGAATAAAACAACTTTTTCCCGCCGCAAAGCGATTTGAGCGCCAGCTATCGACTACTATCCGATATATTAATATCGGATAGTAGCAAATATCGCTGAGAGACCAGTATGGGTTCTGCTACTAGCATCTAAAACTCTAGACCAGTGGTTCCCAATTAGTGGTACGCGTACCCCCAGGGGTACGCGAAATTGCATGAAGGGGTACGCGCGGCAATCTAAAATCGGTCGATTTAAAATTTAAATGCATGAGATGAAGCAATCAAAAAATAATGGGTGGGCCATCAAAAATTCGGCAATTTACAACATGATGTCGAATGCACAAATTCGTTTATTTATAACTAGAAATATTCTCGAAATTTCATTAAAAATGCATTTGTGACAATACCTAAATAAAATTCTTACGCAAGAAACAAAAATTGTACAATTACCACAATTTGTGCTCGCGAAATTAATTTTGAAAATTTTTGTCGCTGTTATTTTTCTCGCGCGACAATGCGACTTCTCGTAGAGTATATTGATACTTCACTGAGTTTAATAATCAGTTGCGACATGTCGCTTCTAAATCGGGCTAGAATCGATCTTTTTCTTGAAAAAAAAGAAAATTATTGGAAGAAAAGAATTTATAGCGAAAAAGATGGTCACGATCGACGATAGCGATTATCGCAAGCGTGTTTTTTTCGCCTAATTTTTCCTACTCGAAAAGTCGCGTTAGATTCTATGAGACGCCAGCACTTTTTGACTTTTCTTTCTGAGTAAACTCTGCGCGCAATAAAAACATTATTTATTGCATTTTTCTCAGCTCGAAGAAATTGGAGAACTTAATTTTTTGAAAAATTTCAGAAAAAAATGCCACAAAAATCCACCACAGGGCGTCTCACAGAATCCACGTGATCTTAATTTTGAATTTATAACCGTCGCATCCTGGTGTTTTTCTAATTCCTAATATATCTTTGCAAATGGTAAGATAATGTTTTAAAATTACTTTTTAACTTAAGCGGCCATTTAAATTTCCGATACGAACTCCCGTTTATTTTAAGTTTTATACATGTTTGCGGTTTCTGTTTAATGTGGCGAAATCATTGCGGTGCGACGTCGCAACGCATCGTGTGGCATGGCCGTAAAGTTTTTTATTACAAAAATACATAAACTGAGTTAATTAGTCCCCGTCTTTCAGATGGAACGATGGCTGTTAGGACGCCGAAAGGCTGATGATGAGGTGTCAGGCAATACTGTACAGTCACCTGCTAATGATGTATCACCCTCTAACAGTACTCAGGCACAAAAAAGAAGAAACCTTGATAATAAGGAGCAGTCTCTCAAAAAAAGGAAATATGACGATAGTTATATTCAGTTTGGTTTTACATGGTCTGGAGACCATGATTCCCCATTGCCACAGTGTGTCGTTTGTGGAGAAACGCTGTCAAATCATTCGTTAAAACCATCTTTACTGCGTCGCCATTTGGAACCAAACATACTAATTTTAAACATCAATCTGTGTCCTTCTTTCAACATAAATTAAAAGATCTCAAACAAAGACAAAAATCTATTGAAAAACTCTCCTTGAACATGAATGTCAACGCTCTGCAAGCCTCTTTTAGAGTTAGTTACTTAATTGCCAAGCAAGCAAAACCACACACTATCGGGGAGAACCTTATACTGCCTGCAGCAAAAGAGATAGTGAAATGTATGTTCGGAGAAAAAATGGACGAGAACTTGATGTTATTCCCCTGTCGAATAACACTGTCTCTCGTCGTATTGCAGATATGTCAGATAATCTGAAAAGTGACCAAATTCAACGCATTTTACAAAGCGATTTCTTTGCCATACAACTTGATGAGTCCACAGACATATCAAATTTGGCTCAACTTTTACCATACGTTCGTTACGTTCATCCCAGAAAGTTTCACGAAGAGTTCCTGTTTTGCCGTGCCCTTCCGATTCGCACCACCGGGGAGGATATACTGTATTTCGCATTGTCGACGGTTTTATAGACGAAAACAAAATGGATTGGTCAAAATGTGTGGGCATATGCACTGATGGTGCCAGAGCAATGACTGGTCGTTTTTCAGGACTTGTGAAGCGGATACAAGATAAAGTTCCAGAAGCAAAATGGACCCACTATGGAATTCATCGAGAGGCACTTTGTAAAGGAGTCAATGTCCGATTGTTATTTTATGTTTTGGGGCGTTATTTTTATTTAATTATATTCTTTTTGGGGTTCTTTTTGTTAAGGACAAACTCCTAAGCACCAGTGACCATGAAAGAAAAAGCAAACTTAGTTTGCGTCGGTGCCTGATCCTGTAACGACATCTTATGTAAATTAAGACAGTGCGGAGCTGCACTCGAGGTAGAATAAAAGGCGACACATCCACGACAGAGTTAGTTTTCAGGTGACAACTGTAGTAGAAACGTCTGGGATAAATTAGAGGAAACTGTATCTTTTTTCTGTAGGATTCTTTTGAGGTGGAGATAAAAGTTTTGTTGAGTTGGATATTATAAGTATTATTGTCTTTGATTTTTATTGCAACTTTTCCAGTGCTCAATTATTTAACTTACTGTTGGGACAATTAACCCATTATTGTTTTTTTGTCAAGATAATAAATCTTATATTTATTGTGAATTATTATGTGGTTGTGAAAATTATTGGTTATTTTTATTTTGGAAAGTCCAGGCCTGGTACTTGAACCCTACTATTGTGTAACCCCTTTTTGTTTCGTAAACGGTGCGTTACAACTTGTTTGTAAAAAAAATTCCAACCAGCTTAGACACCACTCTTAAAAATGCTGTAAAGATTGTAAACTTAATCAAGGCACATTCCACAAACTCAAAAATTTTCGCAGCCATTTGTAAAGACCTTGACAGTGAGCACGAGACCCTGTTGTTACATACTGAAGTGCTCTGGCTGTCCAGAGGAAGAGTTGTTTCGAGAATATTTGAGTTGAGACATGAAATTGAGTTATTTTTGGTCGAGTATAAATATGATGAGTACAAACAGATGCTGACTGACCCTTTGTGGCTGCAAAAATTAGCTTACTTGTCAGATATTTTCACAAAGTTGAATGAGTTGAATTTGGGCCTTCAAGGCCAGGATATAACCATATTCACTATGCAGGAGAAAGTTGAGTCAACTATTAAAAAAATATCCCTCTGGACATCTTTGATAGACAAATGTAAATATGACCAGTTTCCGAATCTGAAACTTTTCTTGGAAACAACTTCTTTGTCGTTAAATGAAGATGTAAAATCAGTCATAAAATGCCACTTGCAAAATTTGTCGGCGGAGTTACGTAGTTATTTCCCAGAAATATCGCCGGAATGGAACCGGGTAAATAACCCTTTTGCGAATAACTCCACCGACCACCTTCCCATCTCTGACCAAGAGGAATTAATAGACATTTCATGCAACAGCAGACTGAAGTGTTGTTTTGCAGAGCAATCACTGGGTAATTTTTGGGCTGACCTAAAAGACATTTATCATGTCAGCGAAGCGGCAATAAAATATTTATTACCATTTTGCACAACATACCTCTGTGAGATCGGATTTTCGGCCATGACAAATATGAAAACTAAACATCGTCACCGACTTGAACTCGAAAATGACTTGAGACTGAAGCTGACCAAAAAGCAACCAGATTTTACAAAGTTGTGCAAAGAAAATCGTGCACATTTGTCACATTAAAATAAAATAAGATAACCTTATGCTATTTTCATTTTTATCAGAATTGTATTTTAAAGGTAATAAATGTAAAAAAAAAACTTATTCTCTTTATCACTAGCTGTCTACCCACAGCTTCGCACGCATTATATCGAATTTTCATGCAGCAGAATGTAGCCTATGTCCATCTCCAACATGTAAGCTATCTCTGTGCCAAATTTTATTAAAACCTGTTCAGCGGTTTAGACGTGAGAAGGTAACAGACAGACAAACAGAATTACCTTCGAATTTATAATATTATTATGGATTAATATGAATTTCTGCTTTAAGGGGTACGCGAGTTTGAGCTCATTCTTGAAGTGGTACGCAGGAAAAAGTACTTGGGAACCACTGCTCTAGACTCTAGAGCAGTGTTTCCCAACGTGGGGCAATTTGATTGTTAAGGGGGGCAATTTGAAAATGAGTTGTTGACCTTTTTTTTTTTATAGGCATCAGAATTTTTCATCGAGCTATTCGGACTTGAGTAGCTAATGTTGGAAGATTAATCGCGGGCCACATAAATTCATTAGACAGGCCGTATGTTGGCCATGCCTGGTATAGCCACTGTATATATTAGGGGGGCATGAGAATTTTAGAAAGGCTTAGATGGGGCATAGCACAAAAAAGGTTGGAAACACTGCTCTAGAGGAAATACGTATAAGGATTTGGTTTATAGGAAATACTTTGATTGCACGTCACATGATACAAGTCGGGATAAAAATTTAAGACACTGCATTCTACATAGGATTGTTAAATCTGTAATAAAGATACGCAAGAAATTAAATTAATGGGTTAAATTCTTGTCAGATAAAAATTCAAGAAATTTGATATAAAACTTAATAAATTCCAATCTTCTAAT